GTATAGTATTTAGTGACGGTACCCCACCCCGAACTGATTACCCGTTAAAAAAATTAATTGGGTAATTGAGCTTTCCATTATTCTTTCCCAAAATTAATTGGGCAATTTTGACAATTGAGCTTCTCCAAAATTCTGGCCAATTAACATTACTAGTAAACCCTTAACTCAGTAACCTAACTTTAACCCTGCACGTTAAAATTGAAAATTGGAAACCAAACTTACAAAACACTCGTCCACCAAACCAATGAACCAAATCAGATCCGTCGAAGCTCTGCTGCTTGTACCTCAACTTCAAATTGTAGTAATCAGCAACGAAGTCTACTATCTTGTGAGCACACTCCCTGAGTTGTTCTGCGTCCATTGGCTTCAAACCATCTTCCATGTGCAATTCAACAAAACACAGATACATTATACTTGATTGCATTTTCTTTATAATATTATTTAAATATAGATGCGTGGCTCGGAAAATGTGATTTTCAGTCTGTTTTGCTTGCTAGTTTATGCGTTCTTCAGTTTCTCTATGTTCATAAGAAATAGAGAGTCAAATTATTAATTTGGTTACAGAATTAATGTGGCTTTTTGTTGATGTTAGTAATGAAATTCCAAAATTCAGCATATATTTTGGGTTATATTGTTTTTTGAGAGTTTGGTAATTTACCAATCCAGTAAAGAAGAATTATTTTTTTATTTCTGCTTTCATTTTTCATATATCTGTCAAGCAACTTTTATTTTTATAGTTATTGTCATTTGCATTTCTCTATTTGGTAGGTACAAGGGATGGTTTCTTTATCCCTTTTTAGTGGGTCAGAATAAAGAATTTTGATTTTTTACAAATGCAGAATAGAAATTTATTTCTTGTAATAGTGTCTAATAAACTCTTGTTTTACTACTTTAAGAATTATTTTCAATTTGTGCAGTTAATATTTCTTCTAGAAAAGTGATTGAAAATACTATAAATACATTCAAATTGATTGCATTTTCACCATAACCATGGCTGAAACCTCAATTGATGTGTTTTATTTTTCATGTAATCAGATGTCTTGCCATGGGTCGACGTTTTCTGTTCCGACTCCTCCCGCTTCAGTCGAAGTTGGAGATATCGCTACTGGCGTTCGAGATGATGCATCAAGTACATCGGGTACTTCACAAAATTCAAGTGAGGTAAATGCAAATCCTACTCATATAGATTTAGGTAATGATGAGGAGACGACTGAGGTAAATGCTAAATTGGCTTAGTATTGTGTTTTTGTTTTTATTAACTTTTCTTCATAATTTTTTTTTCAATTTGACGGTTGGAGTTTGGACTTATAAAAAATAATTTATTTTCGTGGTTATTAACCGAACCGAATTGACTTACGTGGTTATGGTATGACCAAAAATTTGGTGGTACGGTTATGGTTTTGGCCAAACCGACCCCAAATCGAACCGTTACCATCCCTAAGAATATTACTTCTCAAAATTAAAAGTCCAGGCATGACTTAAAAAAGCACATATAGACTTGGGCGACTATTGTTACGCCTCAAAATCAAAGCACTATCTAAGTGGCTGAAGTTCTATAGCCGAAGCACTATATAAGAAGTAAAAGAAGAAGTCGAAGCTCCATGTCCCGAATCTTTGACACCGAAGACCTCTAATACGAAACTCCGTTTGGTCGAAGTCCTCACTCCAATCCGAAACTCCCTTTGGCTGAAGCCATTGCCGTCTTTCAAAGGATTTGTAAGCAATGTTTAGGAATGATTGATGTAACGTTTGTAAAAATAAATATTAAGATGTCAACCTAGGGTATAGGGTGGCTGACCCGTTATCAATATATTAAATGCACAACAGACTGAGTGGTGTGAGGTTTCGACCTGAGAGATGATGCCACGTAGTTCTTATCCAACGACTACTACTTCAGTTGAACTCTATAAATAAGCAATTCTTGTAACATTTGAATCAAATGCAACTCTTCACACTTCAAACTACACCCAATTTTCTCTCTTGCTTATTCCGTGTTTATTTGCTTGAGTTTAGATTATTTTCACTTTGGTTGAGTTGTTTGTGATTTTTAGTTAAATATGCTACCACCTTTGATCATATTACCGGTACTCGAATATTTTTGTCTCACGTCGTAGAGCATCTCCCACATCTATAAACACTACCATTTTCCATCAGAATCTCCGATCGAAACTTGTTGGAATTTGCTTGCGTGAATACGAGTGGACCCGACATCTGTTGTCCACGTGATCATTACAAAAAATAGGGGTCAACATTTATCTTATGTGCTTATTTTCTCACATATTCTGCGTAAGATTAGTAGTGAAACATATTTTTCGAACTCGGAAAGTCTAACAAGATACTGAAAAAAATGTTAGTTTGAAAAAAAATGTTAGTTTGCATACTTAATTAGGGAAAATGAGGTTCAAGCATTAATTGCTTTGAAGTTCATCGTTTTACATTATGATTTAACAATTTTCGAAGTCAAATTCTAGCTTTGTTTAAGGAAAACGAGGTCCATATTGAAAAAAATGTTAGTTTGCATACTTAGAGCTTGTTTGTCTCCCATTATGGGAGAAAGAATGATGTTTTGAATAATATTTTTTGGAGAATGTGTGGTTAAAATTGAAAGAAATTTTATTGGTTTATGTATAGAATATTTTATTATTTGAATGTGTGATGGAGATTGATTACTGTAGAAAACAATGTTTTGAAAAATGGTAGACAAATATGGGCTTAATTAGGGAAAATGAGGTTCAAGCATTAATTGCTTTGAAGTTCATCATTTTACATTATGATTTAACAATTTTCGAAGTCGAATTCTAGCTTCGATTAAGGAAAACGAGGTCCAAATATTATTTTCCTTTCAATTTTGATAAAATAAATTTGTGTTTTAACGAATTGAGAAAGTACACCGACTTAATGAAGCAAATTTTGGTACAAACACCATTTTGCTTTCAGTTTTGATGATTATTTTCGACTTTCACTGTTATATCATCAAATCGTCGTGTTTGTGGCCCACTGATAGTTGGGGTGACGATAGTTGGTGACACGCGTAAGTTCATTCATCATCAAAATTTTAATAACTGTACCATTTTCTTGTACAAGTGTATTATTATGTGTCGACCAACTCATTATGAATCTAAAACATTATAAAGGATAATTTTTTGTTCAATTTTTTTTTTCTTAATTCACACGATAGTTGACCTAAATTCCAACTAAGGAGTTGTTTGGAAAAAAAATGTAATGATTTAAGTCGTTTTCTTACGTACTGTCCGTATTGAGAGGGTCTCTATCATTTCAAAGCGGGCAGTATGCAAGAGAATGACTTGGGCACAAGGTTTAGATCGTTACAAAAATATATGCATTTTTTTTTATAACAATCTTACATCTATACTCAAATTGTTAACTTACATATTGTCCGCCTCAACCCAAATTTCCAACGTCCACATAATTTGTACTCAAGATATTTGTCTTATAATTGTTTTAAGTTGAATCATGATACCAATTTGACAAACAAAACTTCTGATAAAGTTGATAACATGAGTTATAATTGTGGTTTTTATGTCCAAATTGTTAACTCGTTAAGTACTATTTGCTTCGTAAGAATATCTTTCTTCTTATTCTTTCGCGTCCCCTAAGATTCGAACTCAAAACCTGTACTTTATGAGATATTTAAGTTGAGGTTGAGATGTGACAAAAAATCTAAACTGATTCGTTACAAAATGGTAATGATTTAAATTAAGTCTCTCATAAGGCAAAAGTCTTGAATTCGAATCCTAAGAGACGCGATAGAAATTTACAAGAGATAAAAGGAGAGATGCTCTACTAAAGTGAGTAGTACATGTAATAACGATCTGGACACATGTTAAATTATTACAAAAAACCTTTCGTTTTGAAGCCTTTGTGCCTAAGCCTAGCTCGTAATAAAATGTATGATTGAAAAGATAAAAATTGTTACTTTCATAAAATGTATTCATTACAATGTTATAAAAATTGAATTGGACCGGCCTTTTCAATTGGAAAAATAGCGAATCGGCCTTTAATTCGATCCCGTACTCATACATTAACCAGAAATTAAAGAACCAGCTAATAAACCATCAACCTGGCCGGTATAAACGTGAATCGAAAAATTGGCCGCGATTTTTCCGTTGAATATAATTTATTTTTTTCACAATTTTTTTTAACTATCTTGATGGGCCACCTATTGCAATAGAAGGCCCAAATAACTTTTTTATACAAAGTTATTCTCTTTTAGCTCCCGTTTAAAGGATACTCTTCTATCTATCAATATTTTAGTAATCTTTTAATGTCGAATACTAGCTCCTTTTTAAAGGAGACTCTTCTTCCAATGTTGTAGTAATCTTCTAATGTGAGATACTAGCTAATTGCCAATTCTAGTTGTTTACTAGTTTACTTCATTATTTTCATTAATAAATCATAACCCCCAACAAGATTATAATCATAAACAATTTCAATTTGAACAAAACAAATTATTCTAGACATATTAATTGTTAGATTTTTGAGGTTATAAAAGAAATTACTATAATGGCCATGTTTGATGCACATTCTTAAGGAAATAATGTATTTTAAATAGTGATATGATGAAAAATATGTGGTTAAAAAAGAAAGAAAAATTTTAGATTTGCATGTAATATTATTTTTATTGAAAATTGTGTGGTTGAAAATGAGTATTGAACTAATGAATTTTTTTTTTTAGAATGCGGATCAAAGAGGAGCAATAAATCAATTAACAAACATGAATTATATTTAATTTGAATTAAATTTAAAAAACCAATTATAATTATGATATTTTATAGTTTATTTGTGTATTTATTTATTTAATTTATCATCCAGTTCGATACCGATTCGACTCTTTAACCCTCGACCCTCTTCTTTTTCAGGTTGATATTCGAGTTTATTTTTTAAAACATTGATTTTTTAAAATTGAAATTTGTCTAGTTAAAAAGTTGATATTTTGCTAATAATATGTGCTGACGCAAATTCGTGCTCACGTCCAGGGGATGACAAAAGTTGGATCCAACCGTAGACGGCGTCGTTTGAAGAAGCGCATGGCGATGGCTTTGCCTTTGTCTTTGCCTCTGCCTCCTAGGATATCTAAGGTCATAGAAGTCAACAAAAATGTTGAAATCCCGATTCCTGATAGCTCAACTAGAGCCATAGAAGATAACCGAAGTGACACTCAAATTTCACAAGAATCAAGCAACAACATTTCCAACGATGAATGGTTGATTTCTGTAAAAAACTATGACGACAAAACTGTCAAACCCCAAATACAAAGGATTCCATCATTGCTGCGTGAGAAACAATCCAACAAAAAATGTTATGATCCTCTCGTAGTTTCGATAGGCCCTTATCATCATGGAAAGCAGCTCGATTCGCATCATGAAAAGCAGCTCGATGCATTCGAGAAGCTAAAAATTCCAATCGCGCAGAAATTCTGGCATGCCTGTGAAAATAAAGTATCCATCGAACAGATATATGAAGCGGTGGCAAGGGAGGGTAATAGTGCCCGCGAATGCTATGAGGAAGGCCCGACTGATGAATCGTTCAACAAAATGATGTTTCTTGATGCTTGCTTTGTGCTTCATTTTATGTCCGTCTTCGAAACTGAAAGTAATTATTCCAATGGGACAGATATGAAAAATCCACTGGGACCACTACTGCCTTGGAGTTCCTACCTTACTTTTGTGTGTAGGGACTTATTCTTGCTAGAGAATCAAATTCCTTCACAAGTACTAAAAGTTTTGATGAAATTCAGGTTCAAAAATGAAAGCGAGGGGACAATGTTGATTCAGAATTTCCTTGATAAGATGACCACCATAATGCCACCTCAGGAAAGGACACACACTAATGCTGTCAAGAAAGTTGTGCAACGAATGATGGGATGCAGTGTTCAGAAAAAGGAGGAACGGAAAATAAATATGGATGAATGCCATCACCTTCTACATCTAGTTCGGGAACAGTTGATCGGGTCATCTCCTGAAGACAAAAACGAGAAGAAATCTGTCAAATGCCTTCTATATCTAGATCAGCTCGTCGGATCATCTCCTGAATACAAAAAGGAGAAGAAATGGTATTCGTATCATTCAGTAACGGAGCTCAAATCAGCAGGAATTCATTTCAGACCAAGTCAAACTAACCATGTTACTGATGTAAAGTTCAAATCTCACCTTTTTTCTGGTACTCTTACACTTCCTCGAATCATGGTTGATGATACAACAAAACCTTTGCTATTAAACTTGGCGGCTTATGAAATGTGTCCCGGTGGCCCTTCTGATTTTCGCATTATGTCATACATTTGCCTAATGAATTCACTCATTGATCATGCCGATGATGTTAAAGAGCTCCGAAGAAAAAGAATTCTTGTCAACAATTTAGGCAGTGACGATGAATTGGCGCAACTCTTTAACGAGATATCTAATGGTTTGGTATTTGATCCTAAAGAATATGAAGATCTTATGTTGCAGATTCAAAAGCATTGCGAGAGTAAAGCAAAAGTCTGGATGGCTGAATGTATACACGACCATTTTAGCAGTCCTTGGGCTTTCTTGGCTTTTCTAGGTGCAATTTTCGTCATTTTCCTTACTGCGGTACAAACATATTTCGCTGTTTTTTCGCACTAAACCTCAGGACACAAGGCTTCCTAAATCAATGATCTCGTACAAGCTCTTCAGTTGCAAAAGTTTGTTATTTTAAGCACGTTTTATAGAATACTAGTTTTTATTCTATTTTTAAGCCGTGTGATGCACAGGTTGTGTTACTTTGAAGGTGATATTAGCGTTGTATGATAGCGTAATTAGATTAATATTGCGAAACATTTGTAAAGAAATAAAACTATATATTGACATAGACGAGAAAATGTTTATAATAAATGAATCCACGAGCACAAAACCCATCATTTTAACACAAATAAATCACTTGAGCAGACTTGTATGCTACACTGAAGCAACATGATTCTTAGTCTTCCAAATTTTTTCTCATAACAATCTATTACCGTTTTAATGTTAGCTTCTCTTACAGTTTCTTCTCCTTGGCAACCAGCTCCTTCACGTGTATATGAGGCAATAAAGCTATAGGACCATAAAACGTCCAGATTACCAATATATTCTCATCCCTTCACACAATTACGCCATTCATGTTTGATAAGTACCTAAGACAATATTAAATATTATAATGAAAAATATTTGTTTTTCATCTTTAATACTATTAGGTACTATATGATCCTACAGTTATAGTTTTAGATATAACCAGTGTTAATGATAAGAAAATCAAATAGAACGCGAACCTTAGATAAAATTTGAATAGCTTGGGGGGAAGATTTGCAAGAATGACAACAAGGGTTTCAACTCTTTGTGCTTGAAGTAAGATTTAGTAAAGGATAAAACCAAATTTATATTAACACAGATTACGTGCACAAGTCTCCAAAAACTTACACACAGAACGTCCTATACTTGAGTAAAAGGGACAAAAATGTGTAGTATTTGGCAAATCAAGCATAGTTATGACGTTTATGATCATGGTTTCTCTCTTCTTCCAACAAAAGAGTAATGCAGAAGCACCTCCAATGAGTTTACAGATTTAAGATCATGCTTTTCCAGTGAACCATAAATATACTATACATATGGTCTCAATGATCTATTATGATAAAGTAAACAAGATCTTTGTGAGAAAATGAGGCCAACCCCGACAATGATCATCAGCTAATGGTTGATTGGATCGGATAATCTGGTGAAGATCACTGTCCATTAGTTCGTACACAACGTAGACATCATTGAAGTTCTCCTTTTGTGGAGGCCGAATAATGTCTTTAATTGCAATTACCTGTTGAAATAAAAACAGGAGCTGTTAGACAACAGCTAGGCCAATGGAACCTTCTTGAGAAATTTGAGGTTACTCCAATAATGAATATTTGAAACCAAGATTCCAATCAAACAATAAAAATTAGAATAATGCTATGTGTACACCATTGTGTACTAAAAATTAAGGCACTGACAGAAATTGTGAGGTAACTGAAAAATTCTAAAAGGCAGGCAATGAAATGCCTATTAGAATTTTAAAATCCAATTTTGCAAATGTTTATTTAATTGAAATGTCAGTCTAATATCAGTTAACATAATGACAAATGAGGCGTTAGAAAGGTTGAAGGTTTGAAATTTCAAGTGAACATTTTTCGTTCTCAAACACAAAATCAGCAGACAATTATTAAGGTTATGGTTCATTGCTGCATGGTAATGTAATTTAATATTCAGTTAGCTAATTTGAAGTCCATGTGTTGTTCTCAGTCAGTAGTTATGGCAATTTAAAAAAAAAATGAAACACTCATCTCTGAGTCCAAAAACTTCAATAAACTTAAAAAACAGAGAATCAAGCATGAGTGATTAGAGGATGATAGATTAGTATTGGACAGTATTAATAAAGAAAAAGAAGTTAAAATCTTGTTTATTATTCTGTCTTGTTCTAGTATTGTTCTAGTATCACGTATCAAACAAGCACATAGGGTCCATATTTACCAGAGGGACAGATCAACATACGTAAACTAATTTACTATCTGTTGAGTAGAAGTTAACAAATATTATCCAACTGTGAGTAGGGTATCAAGCTGAATCAAGATTTGGTAATTAAAGATTGATAAGTAACAATACTTACATTATCATGGTCCATGTGACGTAGAAGTTTTATTTCTTGTAACGTCCTCTTGGCATCTATTCTATTGTCAAATGCATCGCCAATCTTCTTAATGGCGACTTCCTCACGAGTCTCCGAGTTTACTGCAGCACTGAAGCCAAGGAAAAAAATTATCTCATTTTTCTTCACAATGTTTATGAATCAAAGGGACAAAAAGCTCAGACAAAATACAATTCTAACATACTATCTGCATTCCACGAAATAACATGTTGACCCCAAAAAATGGTTCAATGACGTGGCCAACAGAAAATTAGAGAATCACTTCTTCAGAGATCCAATTCTCAAACACTGAGATCAAATCGCTAGCTTTATAGGCGAAGATTCACTACAAAAAAAAGGGGTTCCAGCGACCAACAAATTTGGTCGCTAAAGACCATTTTTTGGTCGCTGAAGATCTCTAGCGACCAAATAACCGTGGTCGCTGGCTGGTCGCTAATTCACCGTCGGTGAAACTTTCCAGCGACCAATAATGTGTGGTTGCTGAATATAAGACTTTTAGCGACCAATAATTGGTCTCTAATAGGTGCAAATTGTGGTAGCTGATGAAGGTTAAAAATAGGACATCCAGCGACCAAATACATCTAAGACCTCTAGCGACCAATTCCGTGATCGCTAAAACCTTAGACCTCTAGCGACCAATAAATTGGTCGCTAATAGGCTACATCAGATGTGGAAAAGGGACCTCCAGCAACTAATATTCTTGGTCGCTAAATATATA